AGCGTCAATATGTAACGTCGAAGGGTGTCGTTGAGAGGCGGATCCGACAGGCAGTGTTGGAAGGTAGCGCCGAGGGCATGCAATGTCAGTATAACGTCAAGAATATGTAGCGCTGGGATAAGGTCGAGAATTTGCATTGTCAGGATAACGCCGAAAATAGCAAACATCAGGTAAACGGTGCATCAAGATACTGCCTCCCATGTCCTGTCCTAAAGCAGGCAAACACAAGCAGCCCCTCAAGATGTTATTCTCTCGAGACCTCCCTAAAATCGGGCAGTGCCGTATCCTCCACATGCAGATGCACCGCTTCTCGTGACCACTTGCAGCACCAATCCAAGGCAGATTGCGATTTGTCGAAAACAGCATAACAGAGGGGGCAGTCCGGGACAATAAAAAGTAGAAACACAAAATAGCAAGGCTTTATGAAAACATTCTGAAGAGGTTCTCCTCTTTACCTTTAAAATCCTTTCCGTTATAATAAATTTTGACGCTTTTTTAATGATTACTTCAAAAAAAAAGGCTTAGAACAGTTGGCTTCAAACGAAAGCGAATTTTTCTGTCACAGTTTATCTGCAGCACACTGATAACAATAAAAAAAAAGCCGCACTGAATACACTGTGTTTTATCAATTTACAAGCAAAACAACGAGCAGGGACCGCACTTTCAAATTCGCGCCTGTGAATCAAAAAGATATAGAAATGTAATTCTGATAAAATAACATCAATTCTGGATTTGAATCCCGTACTGTTTTATTTGGTGTTTCCGAACATTTTTTTGGAACTGCTTCGAAGATTCTAATGCTTTCTGGCTAACTGCTGGAAATGCACCATTGTTCTATTTTTATCGAATCGACTGTTATGCGTTTTTGCCATGCACCGCTACAGCGATGCAACAGGCAGCAAAAACGCATATTGCAACGACCCTGTCAGTGTGTGTGTATTCGTCTGTTTGGGTATTTCAACTCGCCAACCACGTAAGCTCTGAAGCCGAAATTCTGCCAGTGTGTTTCCTAGCCAAGTGCCACCCTAGGACCGCGATATCAACTCTCACGCATGTCTGGCCCTGCGCACGAGCACGTGAAAGTTTTGGTGAGAAAATTGCTAACTTGGGAACGAGAAAAGCTAGAAAACTGAAACCTTAAGGGGATGTTCCCTCCCGTGTAAAAGATTTCAAATTCAGCTACCCAGGACTGCCCGGGGCTTATGTACGGACACGCGAAAATTATGGCGGAAAAATTCATAACTCGAGAATGAGAAAAGCTAGAAAGTTGTGACTTCGGGGAAATGTTCTCTATTCATGCATGACCGAAAGTTTCCAAACTCAGCTCCTTGAGCCTGGCACGTGAAAATTTTGATGCGAAAATTACTAACCAGGGGACAGAAAAAGCTAGAAAGCTGAAAATTTACGGCAATGTTCCCTATTCATCTGTGACCAAAAGATTTCAAATTCACCTGCTTAAAACCGTCCGGTGCTCACGTATGAACACGTGAAAATTTTGACGGGAAAACTACTAACTCAAGAACGGGAAAAGCTGGAGACTTTAATTTTAGGGGAATATTCCCTACTCATGTGTGACTAAAAGACATCAAATTCAACTCTTCTAGTGCGGCCTTTTTTGCACACCAGCAACTTTCCATTTGTTG